CTTTGGCATATCCCAAACCCCCCCCCCCCCCACACACACCCACACAATAATGGATCTGCATGGAAAAGTGTATCCGCCAGGTTGATTTTGTTCAATAGATAATTTACCCCCCAATAAACCCTTATCACTAGTGTTAAATGTCCACAGAGTGCATGGACATAGATGATACAAACAAGTAGAGCAATGAAAAATAAATAGACCCCTCACCAGATGCGTGATAGCAGCAACACTGAAATAATATGATAATATCATTAAAAATTAATAAAATGATTGTGTCGCGCTGTGAACCAAAGTGTCACACAAAATAGTATCCAAAACTATCTCCTAACATCTAAATAATAATGTGTAAAATATAAATCCCAGTAATAATGTGAAAAATATAAATCCAAATGGGGACATTATTGTGTAGCTGTTACGAGATAGATGTGGATACTATTTTGTGTGACACTTTGGTTCACAGTGTGACATAATCATTTTATTAAGTAGAGCAATGAGCTGCCTTTAGGGAATAAAATAAACAAACGTGCACAGGTTGTGTGTATGTATTTTATGGCCAGTTTTGGATTACCAAACTGACAAATGTGATCACTCTCTGACCAGTTTTTTTCATACTCTAATTGATGTCTTAATTTATAATAACTGACTGGTTGCAAGAGTCATTTACATTTATACATGGGCTAATTTTCAGCAGATTGATTGTTGGCCCAAGTAGCAAGATCTTTGCCAGTCTCGACGTTGCTGTTAACACCATTCATTGTTCAAGTCATGGCAAAGCAATGTTTGTTTCATTACAAAGAAAAACAAACTGCTTGTACATCAACAGTTTTTTCTACTCTTCTTGCTGTCATTTTCAGGTGTTTCAATGCACTGTAAGGGAACTGTCTCTTTAAATATCTTTGTCCCCAACCCCGGTGTGCCTTATCTGATCTTGATGATCTATGATGTCTGATGTTCACTTCATATTAAAGAAAACCTGTACCAAGAGAATATGAAGGCCATCATTGCAGTCCTACCCTCCAGAAAATACTAGTTACTTGAATGTCAAGTACAAATACAATCCTAGTACCAATACATTGCTATACTGGGGTTGTAGCAGGCATATTATATGCTTAGGTTTCATTATCAGCCTTCTAAATCCACAGCCAGACCAAGGCAGGTCATAGAAAACTAGAGATCTGCAGTGAGAACATTGACAAAAACTGCACACGACTTCCCACAGAGAACAATTATAAACATGGAGACAGCAGAAAGGCTTGAAATTCAAAGTAAAATATGCTGTTAATAGCACAGGAAGGCAAATGTGTGACAGGGAGGCTGAAAATGGCAATCGAACAATAGAGAAAGAAAAAAAGATTTCTCCAGCTAATCAGCCCAGCTGATTGGAAAAAGTAATTCAATTCCCTGAACAGAGCTTGACAACATGACAAGGAGAAGGTAAAGGGGAAAGTTTAATCCAGTTGATCTCTCAACAGAGCGGATGGATGGAGATGAAAGAAGAGGCGGATAGTTCTGTCACACAACCAGCAGATTTCAGAAGCATGGTAAACGTTTTTACAGGAGAAGAAAAGTGAAACTAGTCAATAGTGAAAGGGATTGCTATACCAAATCAAATGAATTACACACGTAACCAAAATGTAGAGTATACTTATATAATAAACTTTAATGCATCTCCCTATAGATGAAAAAAATTATACAAATAATTATTACAAGAAGGGTAGTGGAATGAGTGACATAGTATGACTCACTTGGATGTTCTGGGAATTAATACTATAGGTCACTAAAGGTAAAGAATGAAAGTGTACCTAAGTTTTTTTTTGTTTTTTTAAATTCTGGATACAATGTGTTAGATTAAAACCCTTTTTAGGTTTTTATTGCTGATTATGTCCCCACTAGGGAGATTCATCCACTCTTTTTGTCTTGAGAAAACTTTCCATAGCGATACTTTTTTTCAGTGACAACTGTCAAGAGCGGATTTCCCTTTAGAGATATTTTCTTTCATACCCTGTTCTGTCTCTTGGACAGAACAGGGAAGTAAAAATCTTTTCCCGCAGGAGGTTTTAACCATTCTCTACTCTACCCAAAACTAACAATAAGGGTTTTGCTATAGATACACTTTAAAACATATGATACGCATGTATATATTTAGGCCATAAAAGCACTTGGCTGAGAGTTCTAGAGCAGCTCTGCAACATGCAGAGCAAAAGCAACCAGGTAGCTGTTAATGTTATTTAGAAAACTTTGCATCATTAATTTACTCAGAAAATTCCTTTTAAAATTAACCTTCAATGTCCATATATTTTAAATTGTGTATATTTCCCATAATGGCGTATTCCTGTTATGCATACAATTGGGGTTAAGTTGCTCATTTAAATAGATATCTGTCCAGCTGGCTTGAACATAATGCAGATTGGTTATTAAAAGGCATACATACTGTGACACAAAATTGGGAACACCTGAAACACAATGTACAACTGCACTGTGACTGAATGTCTCGACAAATGCACTAATCATACAACAACATCTATCATTCTAGCAATTCAAATCCAGTAGTTATCAGTCATAAATTGGTTGCAGGGATGATTTCTGCCCCTATATGGGTTGGATATCAGCAACTTAGGTTGAACAAAAAGTGCTTACATTGCTGCAATAATGTTTGTATGGGCATCCTAAATATTTCTTCACTGATAAAATCACAAAACCTGTCAGCATTGTCCTTTGCAGAGGGTTCCTATGCCATAATACTCACTGTTCACATCTAAAGTGTTTAATTTCCCATTGGGCTAGTAGTAAGGGGTATTGATTGCCTTTTGCTCTGTAAACAATATTAAAAAAAACACACTTGAGGCTTCTGAAACTATGACAGCCATTAAATCATAAGACAGATGCTTTGAAAAAAAAAAGAATATATTTTGCTGTTGGTGTTAGGGCACAGTTTTAATACAATGCCCATATTTTATTCAAGACAGTCTATTCGATAAATCAGTGCAAATGCGCTGCACTTTCGATGGGTAAAGTACAACAATGAACAGAAACCATTCATCTCTTTCTCTCTCATCTGATTACAATAACGTGAAATCAGACTAATTTCTATGTGCTGGTGTGTTTTGAATGTTACCATCACTCTTTCCTCAGAGCATAAGCCCAAAAGAGTATGGGTGGTTTCCACATGTAACTACAGAATCAATCTATGCTCAGTGGCTAGAACTCCAGGCAAGGAATTGTGGTTTTACAAAGGGTTAATGATTTATATACTTTGATTATCTGCTCATGAATTTGATGTGCATGGCTAAAAATCCCTTAATGCACCAATTATATACCAATGAGGAAAGATAAAGAACCAAAGGACTGTGGTAACTTAAAACAGTATTTTATCATAATAATGATCTTAGATTACATTCACACTTGCCTCCTATGCTTGTTTTATTTCAAAGCAGAGAAATTGATCTGTGAAATACAAACAAACTTTATACTTCCCATATTACATTTCCATGTATTTAAATGTACTTTTAACATCATGAACACGTTTAGACATGTCTGCCTTTGGACACAGAGATTTCTATAAACACATGTAACCTAAATGCACCTAAACACGGGTAAATGCACAGTGTGAATTAGACCATGTAAAATCATTACATGCATTTATATGCATATAGAAACAACCTGTAGATGCAAACAAATGCATGTATGTCACTGCCAGTGTCATTAAGGCCTTAAATGTTAATATATATCTATGTTGTTAATGTGTGCCATGCTCGCCTCACTGTCATCACAACTTGTGTCAAGCTATGTCCACAAAGTTTCTTATCTAAACTGAAGCCTCTACAAGTGCATCATACACATACTCCTGAAGCCATAGCTCCAAACTGTCGCTCATTTGGAGGGACTATCCCTTATTTGGAACCAAATTCATCTGTTCTTCCTTCCTTAGTTGTCCCTTTTTTGGTCTGCTGTACAGATATCTATGAAAAAGTACTATTTAACTATGGAAAGTGTTATTCTGCACTAAAAACCTCATCCTGTCTCTTAATTATCTTGGTTGCTATTTTAAAAAGACAGTACACAGGGAAGGTAATAGTTAGAAAAAACAATTATGGGTTTAACTAATGATTTCTGGCCTACAAATTCTTAATAGACCACATATCTGGGGGCATGGCAGGGGTGTGTCCACTGCCTTAATACTTTTGGCTGAAAGGTGTCCCTTTATCAGAAAGTTGGGAGGTACATTGAAGCTAAAAATACTTAGCAGCTGGAGGTGCACAGAGAACAAGGTTTAGGAGACTTACAAGATGCAGCAACAGCATGTTGACATATATGTATATATATATATATATGTATTATGATTTCAATTAAAAAAAATGTATATATATACTGTATATATACACACACATCCTCATGCTCCTTGGATTTATAACAACTTACAGCTGGGGTAAGTGCGAAAAAATAGTCACACAGCGATATTTTAACTTCATTTTTCTAATAGAAACCTTTTTTTTTTACAGCTGCAGACAGCTGTAACGGATATTAAAAGGACATTCCACAATGCAATCTATTTAAAAAGAGCACTGTATAGTTTCTCTCAGACAGGAAAATAAATCTTCAAATCTTGTACAGTAAAAGCAAAGTAACTGTGGGAAAAGTAAAACACAGTACCTTCCATGACATAGACCAGTGACCCCACGTCCCCTTCCTTGATGATACAGCTGTCTTTGCCATATTCAACAGGATACATACAATCCACTATCTCTTGGATCTGGGAAATCTCTAGGTTCTTCATGAAGTCATTGTCCAGGATCGCTTCTTTAATTAATTCTTTGGACCTGAAGCAAAAGGTACACAATATTTTGTCAATCATGGAGAAATTAGAAGTAACAAAAACTGATAGGCATTCTAGAAAGTTATTGTCTGCCAAGGTATGGAATAACATTTTATATACTTTTTCATTTGAACTTTGTAAAAAGCAGTAGGTTTGTGACTTGTGCATTGCTATGAGTCCCAAATAATAAATCCTTGAAATACCCTGTAGAAAACTATGCTAAGGATGCAATGATATGTGTTAACACTTAGCAATCACATGTTGGAGTCCAATACTTTGCCACTGCCATATTAAAAAAAAGTAATGTTGTAATAATGTAAAAAAAAGTAATGTTGTAATAATGTATGAATAGGTACTCCAGAGGGCAATTTCTAATGACAGAATATGTTGTTCATATCTATCCTTCTCTGTGGCAGCCAAGTACAAACATGGTGGAACTACAGTACGGTGTAAACTTTCTTTTAATATCTTGAATTTTACAACCAATTATTATCTTTTATTATTTTATAA